GAGTGCTGGCGGTGTGGATGCGGCGAAGGCTGAGGTGGAGGCGGCCTGGAGAGAGGCCCAGTGACGGGAAAAATGGAGAGACGCTCGAAGGAGAGAAGACGATGATTTCTCTAGTGAAAGACGGGGGGTGATGGGCGAGACACGTGATTTCTAATCACTTTTTTGTCCATGTAAAAATGAGTCATATTTTTGTCCATTAAAACTTCAGTAGTAATATTTGAGCCATTTTTTCTTATTATGCACTTGTTTTTATATAAATTTTAATAATAATTTATGAATATGATTGTTTTTTCAAAAAGCGTATTATAAATAAAATAAGCTATAGCAATTTTTAAAAAGAGATTTTTTTAGCAACCTTTGTGTTTTCTCCTTTCTCCTGACTTGCTAGCGTGCTTTGCGTTTTCTGATTTTTTAAGAGAGAAACTCGTTAACTGAGCATTTTTATTGATTCAATTTGAGTTTTTTAAATTAAATATTTTAGAACTTGGTGTTTCTTATTGACACTTTCAGCCAGTATTCATCTAATTGCAGCATGTTCAAAATTATTTATATTTTTACATATACGATATTCGTGTATATAATAAAAATAATGAGGGTTTTTAGTTGAAGGGTGCCAAAGATAGTACTAGAAACTTACTTTTAAAGTCACATGTTTTTTCATGGCAAGTTTGAATACATGACACTAGTAATACTTTTTTTAAAGCCACATATTTTTTCATAAACCATGGATCAAAGTTAGTATTAGCCACAATACCTAAAAGTAAGTTATAAAACACTAAAATCGTGAAAATGGATTTTCCTAATTTAATGAATAAAATATATTATGTGTAAGCAATAATTGTAATTAGATTTTGATGATGCTATATTAATTAGGATTTTAGAGTACCCCTCTTTAGAAAATTGTATTAGAATTTTTCTTGTGTAAGCTTTCTTAGAATAGTCGACTGAATAGAAGTGCACAAGGCTCTCAATGATTTTTCTAGTCAGAAGATCCTCAAGGTCCTCTGTTGTCCTCTTTCATGACAGAAGAGCTCGAAGTCCTCCTTGGCTGATTCTCTGTTCAAGAAATACCAGAATGCCTGACACTTAGAGAACTTCTAAGTAATCTATCTAAGCCGATGAAATCAACGGAAGATTCCTTCAACGGGTAGAAGACTTCAACGGAAAAGCTACAGTGTACGCATTAATTGCTCATTTAATGAGCCCCGTACACTCAAGAGTAAAAGCCGATGATTGGCCGACATTCCAGGATAACTTTATCCTAAAATAGCAACTCGCCAACTTTATCGAGTCCTACCGGTCAAGTCAACTGTATGCACATTTAATGCAGTTGTCCTCCTCCTCCAACGGGAAGATAACCCCAGTATAAAAGATACTGCATGAAGAACAACCGGATAACTTTAGCTCTAACATCAACCCTTGCTTGAAACAACATACTAAAACTACAAGCTTTCTTTAGACTTCAACTTCACCTTCCTCAAGCAAGAAAAGCTCTAGTTGGAAAAGATAATATTTTCACATCTCCATATTCCAACAAAAGAGCAAAGTTCCAACAGTTCTTCAACACTTCAAACACTTCATCTACACATCCTTTGTGACGAAGCAAGTTGGAGAACCCCTATTTTACAAGAACTCTTCTTTTACAAGAAGGACGTCCAAGTAACTGGAGTAGTGAAGTGGGGATACTTCAAGGAAGCTCAGTGAAAGGACCAGTCTTAACGGAAGCAAGGAAGTGCATCCCAGGAGACATCTAGACTTGAAGAAGACGTGGAGAGCTTCTTAAGTGTTAAGGCTAAGGCATTGTAATCTGCGTTTTTACAAGCTTAGTGGAACAGTGGATTAGAGGAACGCGTTGTTCCTTGAACCACTATAAAAATCTCTGGTGTCATTTACTTACTGCTTTCATTCATCGCATTTACTTTAAATTGATTAACTCCAAGGACTTAGTCTCTGCGTTCAGCAGAACATGTCTGGTGAGTTAACAGAAGGCCTACTGCCTTTGTTTTTTAGACTGTTAACAGAACAGGCTATTTTGTTAAGTCTGGTACTTAGCATAAAAAGTCAAAAATCATAAACGTCTATTCACCCCCCTCTAGACTGTTACCTTGCTTAACCGGGACCAACAAGTGGTATCAGAGCCTCCTTGTTCTTGTAATCTTTTAGGTTACCTGCTGAACAAAGATCCACTTGTTTTTTCTGCCTCTATTTTAATCTCTTATTATGGATCACTCTCTTTCCAAGAACCTTATGTTTTCAGATCTTAAGTTTGATGACCGGAGGATCCGGATGAAGGCACATCTCTGTGCTCTTCATGATGAAATGTGGGAAGTACTTGACCTAGGGCCATTCACCAACTTCCAGAAGGTGAACCCTGATCATGCTATTGACAACACACAGCCACAGATGATCAACAAAGCCAAATCCGAGTGGACCACTGAAGAAAGAAGGAAGTACAATCTGGACAACATTGCCAAAGACATTCTTTACAAGTCCATTGATGACAGATACTTCAACAGAATTAAGAAGTGCAAAACTGCCAAAGAAATATGTGATACCCTTGAGCTCATTGGAGCTGGTGATGAGCAAGAGAAGGACAACAAACTAACCATAGCCAACAAGAAGTTTGATGACTTCAAACTTCTCCTTGGCGAAAGCATCTCCAAGATGTATGACACACTCCTTACTCCCACTTGGGAAATTTTTGAACTTGGCAAGGAACTCACCACCAAGAAAATCAACCTCAAAGTGTTGAGAGGTCTACCCTCAGCATGGAAGATGATGGTGGTTGCAGTTCAAGCAAGCAAGGATGTGAAGACCTATCCAACTGATAAGCTCATCTCAGATCTCAAAGCTCATGAGTTTGAGATGATTGAAGAGAAGGAAGATGTAACAGAAGAGAGGACCACCACAGCCCTCACAGCTAGTACATCTAAGGTAAATGATTTTGACCCTTCTATATTATTATCTGATGATTATATGGCTGCTTTTGCTAGGAGATTCAAAAAGTTCATGAAGAAACCCAAAGATGGAAGGAGTCCATCTCTAACAGAAAACCATTCCAGAAGACCAAGTCTTCAGATAGTAGTGGAGAGCTTCTCTGCTACAACTACAGGCAACCTGGACATTTCAAGGCAAATTGTCCACACCCCAGAGTGTCCAAGAGACAAGGACAAGATGGAGAAAAGAAATATGAAGACAATGCTAGAAGAAGGAAGGCACTCGTCACAGAACAATATGAGAAGGATCCCCTCTCTGAGACGGAATCTAGTTCTGACTCTGATTCTGACGAGGCATTCTGTTGCCTTGATACTGAAACAGAAGACCTATGCCTCATGGCCCAATCTGATGATGAGGTAACCTCCTCTTCTGACTCTTGTTTCTCTTCGGTAGGCACAGTTTTAAATGATGATGCAATGTCATCATTGTGGGAAGAGTTTAGGACTATCCAAACCACTTATTCGTTAGTCAAAGAAGAAAACAATAGACTGAAAGTTGAAATCTCTTACTTAAGAAAATAGACTGAGGTAAAACTTAATCTCCTAATTAAGGAAAGGGATGAACTTGAAGCTGAAAATGTTTCTCTTCTAAATAGAATAAGAGAAATTTAGCATTTTGAGGTCATATACAATAGCCTTCCGAAAATGCAAACTTCTCTAAAGGTTGTTGATATTGATCAAATGCTTTCCCCTATTTCTGGTCTTGGATATGTTGCAACAGAATCCGGTGAGCCTTCTGTAAGGCCTAGCACCCAAGTTGCTAAGGCTAAAAAGGTCATAGAACCACAGATCTCTAGCCCCATTTGTCATGCTGGTGTATCTGACACCAAGGTCATTCATGAGAAAGTCAGACCAGGAAATAAAAAGATAAAGGCTCAACAGAAACCTATTTTAAAAATTAATGAACCTGGCAGAAAACCTCACAAAAGTAAAGGTTTTAAAAAAAATCAAAGGAAAACCCCTAAGAGACAACCTCATGATAACCGTGCTGGAAATAATCACCAGAAGGGCAAGTACCAAGAGAAAAGTTAACTTTAGGCAGAAGAGGTTGGTTGGTCAACTTCACAAGCCCAAAGCTAACCGCCCCTCTACTCTTGATAGTATATGGGACTTCTTCCCTACCAAGAAAGCTATGCAAAAATATGTGAACATGAAGCATGACCCTCACAAGCATCTACCCAAAGTGAATCACACTTCGGTTTACTATGACTACCAGGTGGACAACGGGTACCACCCACCAAGGTTTCACCTGATGAGACCAAAGTGGTACCGACTACCAAAACTCCATGACCCCCTAGGACCCAACGTCGCTTGGGTACCTAAATCTTTCTTTTGATTTTGCAGGAACAGTGTGCTGGAGCTATCTCAGAACAATGTTGTGTAACAACATTCCTTAGCTTCCGGCTTTGGCTAGCATGCAACAAACAATTTTATTCTTTACTTCAATGGATAACCTTTTTGCCTTCGATTGCATCTGTCTTTCCGTGTACTTGATCTTTTCTCGATTGTGCTTCATGAATGAATTGTGAATATTCCTCCACCTAGGGGCCATTTTTTTCGGGCTTAGGAAAAATCAGATATACACGCAAGGCATAGGCCTATGGCGTTGCCTGACGAGCTGGGGCCTCCGGCGCTGTTGAGGTGCCGGAGGCTGTTGGTATGTGGGGTTAGCAAATTTAAAAACTCATTCGTTGGATAGGAGCCTTCGGTATTTGTTGAATTTGCACAATGAATAGAATCATGAAATGAACAAATACGTTTTAAATAATAAACTAAACGAGGTAAAAATTCAATGACAATGATCAACAGAGAAAAAACACAAACTTTTACTCTACTTTTTTAAACAATAAACCAATCCACCTGCTATTACAAGAAAATAAATTACCAATTGGTTAAAAAATATTGTTGGTAAACCAAATAATGAATGTTCCCAGAGGGAAAAAGATTGCACTGAATAACCAATCTAATGTAAGAGCTTTATAAATCCCCAATGTACAACCGTAGAAATGCAAAGGTTTCCCTCAATCTATCATCTTGAACCAGAGACAAAAATGGTATATTTCTTTAAGTGGAATGTTTACTCAATAGTAACACTCTTGGCAAGATTCTAAGGTTGGTCAACATTGTATCCGCGTAGAACCGTAAGATGATATGCCAATAGCTGATATAAGAACAAAGTATTAGTTCTCATTTCTCAGTATCCCCACTCACCCTGAAAAGAGAATAGTAATTCATTCATTTACCTGCAGCGGGACTACGTTAATTATTGGCTGCAAACAGTCCTCAACTTGAGGAACCTCAGTGACACGGCATGATCCGCTAACACGAACAGATGATGCATCTCCTTTTGTACACATCACTATTAATCTACCTTTACGGGCATGGAGCTGCTGAATCACTGATTGTTGTTTGCTGTATTGAAATGTTGAATAAATCAATATATAGAAGTGTACAAAATATAGAGTTCGCCTTGTAACCTCACATTTTGTCTTATTGGTTAAACATTTCACCCAGCATTAATCCATTCAACTGCGCTTGCTAAATAATAATGAAGGGGGAAGTAGTGCAAGAGGTACTAATTCGGCTGAGATAGTTAAATACTCCGTATTACATTTCAGCCTTCATATTTTCTATACCATTTATAAATTATTTAGGAAATACGGAGTACTTCTTATATTTTAGATATTAAGCTATTTTATCCACAAGTTAAGAAATTAAAAAGATTCATCCATTTAACTGATGTAAGGCCTTACCAAACGAGCTCTTAGTGACTTCAGATTTATAAACCTAAGAGTTGTTGCCCAACATACTAATTGAATTTAGAAACATTATTACTTTGTATAAATAAATGTTGTAATAGTCTTCAAAAATCTGGTTTATATCCATGAGATTCATGTTTTTATCCACAACGGAGAATAGACAAACCTGAAACAACTGTCATGAGTGGCGATAACTAAAATAGGGAGGTTTTCATCAACCAAAGCTAAGGGACCATGCTTCATTTCACCAGCAAGGATTCCTTCACTATGCATAAGAGATACTTCCTTAACCTTCAATGCACCTTCAAGTGTTGTTGCATAGTTGTAGCCTCGTCCAAAGACAAACAGTGATTGCTCAGCTATCAGCAGCTCAGCAAGATCTCTCATTTCCTCATCAAGCTTCAGAACCTCTTTTACTTTTGCTGCAATTAGAGATAGGCAGACACATAGACAAACGGGTACCTCTTCAGAATGTCTTTGTTTCTTAAATACATTAAATGCACAAGCTTTTTATGTTTTGTTTTTACTCCAGGGGGTCTGAGGGAGGGGGTCTGGGGGGCCTGGAGTAATCAGGGATGAAACTCACTCCATTGAGTTTTAAACCCTTATGTGCCTAACATGTTTCAAACTTGAGACCTCCCACTAGGCACAATAACCTCACAACCAGCTGAGCTGGAATGCTTGGTTGCTTTTTATATTAAAAAGGGACAACAAAGAAGATAGATTTGCATACAAGGCAAATCAAATTAGGCCGTCAATTATTGCTTCTCTTCTTGCTTGATTAGAAAGTGTGTCACCTCCTATTGCAAGTGCCAACATAGCCATCACTACAATTTGGCTTGTGTATGCCTGCAGATCAAGACGATAAATGATGTAATTGAAATTCAGAGTAAACTCCATTGTTGTCATTCAATTAGCACAACTCATTCCAGAGGTTTCATCAAGACGTAACCTCACACTTATATACTAAAACTCAAATTCATTATACAACTCATTCAAGATACAAAACACTCCCTCCACTTTATAGGGTATCAAAGGGACGGATGCCCTGCAAATTATCTTTGGACCAAGCTCCTGTCTTGAATTAAATTAGACCAAACAAGCCCAAAAGGACTACCAAGAAACATGTTTAGCTCACACTTAAATACTAGACTCAACCTTGGATACTACCTAATGAGGCTTGCAAGGGTAAGCAAAGGAACACATAAGCATCAGAGGGGACTGATAACTGATGAAGATAAAAGTCATAAAACGTCGGCAACCAAAGGAAGCTTAGCACCGGCACTAGAGGAAGCAAAGCAATACATAGGCATCAGAGGGGACTAATTCAAATAAAAGTCATAAAACGTTGGCAACCAAAGGAAGCTTAGCACCGGGACTAGGTGGGAAATCATAGAACAGGGGTAAAAGTTAAGCAGGAGGGCAATGTGATGTATACCTTAGTACTTGCCACGCCGATCTCACAGCCAGCATTTATATGCACAATAGAGTGAGTTTTCCTGGCAATTATACTACTAACGGTATTTGTAATACCAACACATAATGCACCATTTCTGAGGGCATACTCTAGTGCTTGCAAACTATCAGAAGTTTCTCCAGACAACAACCCTATATATCGGCCCTTGCCTGTCAACCATATCGCTTGCAATCTCCATTGTGACGGGAATGCCTGGAAGACAAAACATGACACATAAACAAAAGAAAATTCTAAATACAATTCTTCATAAGAGTTACAATGGACCTAAACTCACCTCAAAATAGGTGAGATGTACCACACCCTTACATAGTAGACTCATACCAAATAGATATATGATGTGGGAAACTCAATAATAAGTAAGACTAGCCAACAACTAACCAGAAAGTTCTTCTACAATCGACCTTGCAGCTAGAGCTGCATTATAACTTGGGCCACAACCAATGAAAACGATCCTTCAGCTTCTCCTTATCTTTCTAAGGTGATCCTTCAAGCCCCCTAATAGTACAAATCTGGCTTTACTTGATCCTCCCCGTATAAGCCTCCCTCTCATTGTGGTTGTCAAAGAGTCTGGCTGCTCATGAATTTCTTTTTGCATATAATGCTCATATTTTCCTTTATTTACTTGCTCCACTTCCATCTGAAGAATGGACAAGGCACGTTGAACAGAGCCAGAACGAGCAAGAGTATTACCATGCTTGTTTGTCTCGTCAAACTTGTAGATTGAAGCACCTCCATCCTGAATAAGACCACATCAAAAGTCAAAGAAATAATATTGGTAACAAAAATGTTGAAGGCCCTAAGTGAATGTAAGACTAAAGAAATACAAACAATACTCCATATTGTATGTAAAGGTTATCCATATTTTGAAAACCATTATTGAGAATTTTTGAAAAAAAAACATAAAATATGTTTATGTAAATTAATAACTCCGGTCCATACTCTTTATCTCTAAGAGGAAAATAAATGATCATTGACACTAGAAAATTGCACCTAACAACTCAACAACTCTTTACATCAAGGACATGCTACACAGTTCTTATTCTCTACATATGTATTGTGTCCACAAAATTTCAAAACACACTTAGGCTTTTTTCATATAAGCCCGTGCATGTTCCCCAAAAACTCCAAGCGCAAACTGTGCTGAAAGTAAGCCAATTATACAAAAAGTGTGAATTGCTTCATTAGACTACCTTAAACCAGCAAGGTTACCACATGAATTAGCAGCTTAACTGCCCAACTTTGGTTAGTTATCAGAAGATTGATATGATATTGAAGTACTAAAGACAGTACACCTTGATATGAATGACTTCATCATCCTCGCTTACAAAGACCTTCTTCGTTTGTTCAACTAGAGCATTAGCATCACTCGAAAAGAATAACTTCTTTGGTTGCCCATTGTTTGAGAGAACTTTAGGATCACTAAATGATGCTCCACCGGCAGCCTCTTCTCCCAAGTCCTTAGATTATGCATATATGTTATTCATGAAAAAGTAGAACATAAAGCAAAAATACAGCAGGTCTAATCAGGCAATAGAGTTTTATGGGGTACCAACCTTCTTCATTAGCTTTATCAAATACATGCTTTGCAAGCTTAGGAATTACTTCTGTATCTGTTTCCGATTCAAAGGTGAAATCATGTCAGATCAAAGTCTCTTTAAAAGCCTGCATAATAAAGAGGCAGAAGAGAGCATAAGTGCATATAAAGTAGATTATCAAAAACTTTGTGTCTGCATGCAAGATTGTGGCATTGCCACATACCCTTGCAGATAATGACGGAGTATTAAATTCAATATAGTTCACATTGGTTTAGACTAAAAGCCAATTATAAACATTCACGTGGGACTAAGAATATCTTATTCAAGAGGGGGGGGGGGGGAGAAACCTCATAGTTGGTGATGACACCATTGTGAACAACCAAGAAATCATTTCCAGGACCAGAGGATTGAGGGTGGCTATTCTTAGAGGCTGGCTCCCCGTGTGTTGCCCAACGAGTATGCGCTATTCCAGCATGAACAGAAAACGATTCTCCTAAATTTAGATCTATAGCTGCCACATCTGAAAACATAAAGCAACCATTAGTGCAATAAAAATATATATAATAAAATGTAAACTTTTTTATCCCAAAGAGTCACAGCAATAACTGAAGACAAAAAGGGTAATTCAGTATGAGTTTTTTCTCAGCAAGAAAGCATTACCATGGTAGACGGATTTGACCAGTGATTCAATATTACCCTCTTGCCGTAAGACGAGAGGAGCAGAGGCAGAACTGGAATCGCCATCAATGGAAATTCCGGCAGAATCGTAGCCGCGATACTCCAAGCACCGAAGGCCATTGAAGAGAACTTCAAGAATGTGGCCCCTCACTTTGCTAACATTGTAATTCAGGTAAGCGAAAATTCCACAAATCGTCTCTCTCGCATAATTCCCCTACCTAAAAGGTGATCTAATATGAAATATTTAGCCCAATTTGAACAACGTAGATAAATCAGCATATGCAATACATAAACATTTATTTGTGTGTTTATGTTGAATGAAAGTGAAACCCCGACCAATTGGCTCCAAGAGGTTGTGCTCTGACTTTTCAGACTGGGAGTTTTTGGATTCAACAGAGCACTGAATGATGCAGTACAGGTGATATGTTAATATATGAACTGCCATGGCAGCTTTATTTTGCAAGTTTTTTGGCTTTTTTTATTCTTATTTACTTTTAAGAGAGGAAGTTAGAAGCAAGAAAGACTTGAGATGAAACAGGGACCTTATTCTTTGCCTGAATTGTGGAAATAGATAGTTTTACTAGTCTTTAACCCGGGCGTTGCACGGGATAAAATTTACATAACTGCATATTCTGTTATGATGTTACATGGCCTTGCTAGAATTTGGGGAAAAAATGATGTAAAAAACATAGTTAGTAACATAATAGAATTTATTAATAAGTATATTGAAAGGACTAATAATGAGGTCAAATATAAGTCCATGTAACAAAAGTTGTACCTTACAAATTAGTATAGGTTGTAAATTTGTTCCAATAATTGTTTTTACCCAATTGTCCTTAAGGAATTTTATAGAAAAATTACCTAATGGAAGCAATACAAAATTGTATAAATAAACGTGCACAGTGGTGGAATTTTATCCATGTGCGTGGTTTGTATGATGTACATCCTTTGGCACAATAACATTAGTTTTTCTTGGATAGCTTGATTAGCAAAAGATTAAAATACTTCCTCCGTCCCTATATAAAAGTATCTATTTCCTTTTTGGGCTGTCCCCAAATAAAAGTCTCCTTTCTATTTTAGCAAATAAAATTCACACAAAAGACCTTGCTACCCTCATTTAATTTCTACATTTACCTCTCTGCATTTACTTCTCCCACCGCACTACTCCACCTTTTCGTATTCCACCCACTTCATTTACTTCGCCTCACCTCTTCTCCTCTTCCCTCTTCGTACTCCACCTTCTCCATTTACTTCACCCACTTGCACCGCTCCATCTTTTCGTATTCCACCTTCTCCATTTACTTCACCCACCCATCTTCCCCTCTTCGTATTCCACCTTCTCCATGGCAAAACCAGGTGCTACGGACGAAGTGGAACAGAAATGGTTGGTAGATGCAGAGGTGGACACCGATGTTGTTCCGGACTTCGAAGATCCCTCGATTGGATCCCCGATTTGGCAGTCGCCGTCGGTTGGAAGCCCGATTTGGCAGTCACCGTCGACTGGAACCCTGATTTGGCAGTTGGAGTCGACTGGAACCCCGATTATCCCTCGTGAGCAAGAGTGTTTGGTGTCTCTTGCAGATCTGATTGTCCCCGAATCTGAAGATCAGTTTGACGAAACTGAGAAAGCATGTCCTGCGATTGACCTGGAGACAGTGCTCCTTGATGCGGATCTGTGAAATTAACTTATTCAATCCCCAAAAACACTTCCACATTGGTCAATGCAAGTTCATTCGAAGGGCAATTCTTCAGTCACCTCCAACAACGCACTGGAGTCAGCTTTGAAACAGATTGGTAGGTTACCTTGAGCTTCCAGTGCATTTTTCCTACATGTGGCACCTTGTAGTTATTGCCTCCGCTAACTTTCATAATTTAATTCATACACAACTGTAGAGTCAACCAAACATGATTCAATGCAATAGGGCTGAAGTGAGCATAAACACTTTCCATCCCCACTCTGAGATCATGAACTGAGTTCCTTGGTTTGGTCTGTTGCAATGACTGAATAGCTCTAAAGAAACCTAGATCCAACACATTTAGATCAGGGCTATTAGGAGGCTGACATATTAGTTCAATGTTAAATCCATCTGAAGTGGCTTCTGTTATGAAGTCAATATCAGTTGGACTAATATGGGGTCTTGCATTGTCTTGTTGTATGTAAATATGCTTGCTCACACCTATAGGCAATACAAAACTGAATAGCTTTCTAACACCTATATGTAAACTGTCTTGTTGTATTCACTTAGCTTTGATAGTAGGCAATACAAAACTAAGAAAGCATTCCTTGTTAACATCCTTTGTGATTGAAGCAATAGCTTTCTCCTCAAGTGTGCCAGCTTCCCTATTTTTACCGTTTCTCTTAGCTGGTTGCATTGTACTAAATGGGAATATTCCAATTTTCCCATCAAAAATCACTTCACCATTTGCATGTATAATTGGTCTGGCAACTGCACACAGGAACATCACTTTAGTGATGAATCTTTTAGATTGACATGTCCTATTAGGCTCAACCTCATCGAGATGTAGGTAGTACCTCTGTGATGCCTCTGTCATGTAAAACCATTTCTCATCAACATGTACCAAGTTAAACATGCCTTTATACTGGGGTACATTTGTTACTGTGTCCTCCTCAATGTTAGAAATGATCCATTTTAACCTCTGTAATTTATTCAAGTCTGTAAGATGAGGTTTGATAGTTGATGTGTGACTTTTGAACTGACCTTTTTGTTTGAGTCTGTGCACACATGGTTTTTGATGTCCTAAAGCTGCAGTGTAATACCCGAGATTAATGTAAGAGGATTAATAGTACTACTCATACCAACAGAGGTGCATCTCCTTTTAAGGGAGCTCATCACCCAAGAACTCCAAAGTTAAGCGTGCTTGCACGGGAGTAGTCTTGGGATGGGTGACCCCCTGGGAAGTTTCTCAGGGCGCGCATGAGTGAGGACAAAGTGCGCGGTAAAGGCTCGTGGTGGTTTG